TTTGAAAATCCGAAATCAGCTAATTTATATGTATTTCCTTTAACAAGTATATTCTCCGGTTTCATATCCCTATGTATAACCCCATTTTTTAATAACTCAATAAAGCCCGTAAGAAGGTCTTTTAAAATATTAACTGCATCCTGTTCTGAAAAAGATTTTTGTTTTTTAAGACTTTATCTTAAATCTCCTCCATCACAAAATTCCTATATTATATAGTAATTGTTTGAAGTTTCTAATACATCCACTAATTCTACTACATTAGGGCTTTTTAGTTTTTTCATTATTTTTATTTCAGAAAATAAACCGTTCATCAAGTATTCGTCATTTTATATAGTCTTTTTTTCGATCATTTTTATTGCTACTAATTAATTATTCTCGTTGTTTTTTCCTTTAAAAACTTTGCCAAAAGAGCCTTAACCTAATAATTAAGAAGCATTAAAAGTGTATTTATCTATTTTTTTGTATCCTATTTTTATATATATATATATTTTTATACATATATATTATTTTTATAACCATTTATTTTTTATTTTATTATTTTTTTTTTTTTTTTTAATTTTTTTTATTTTTTTTTTAAAAAAAAAAAATTATAATATATATAAATAGTAATTTTATGAGGAAAAATTTATTAAATTTGTTTTTTTTTAAAATTAATGTTAATTTTTTTTACTTATAAAATGTATCAGAATGAAAATATGATTATAAGAAATATAAAAAAAGATAAAAAATAATAATAGATTATAATATTTTAAAATATCTATTATATATTAGTTTTTATTATTTTAAATTATAATAAATACAAAAAATTACAAAAATATAATAATAATTTTAAATGTTAGAAAAATTATTAAGAGTTGTTCACGTTAAATTATATGGTAATATAGAATAAAATATGTAAAAAATAAATAAGATTTAATATAAAATTAACAAAAGGACTAGAAAATTATTTGAAGCATTAAATATAATGAGTTTTTATAATGTATAATTGATCGCAGTATCCATAAATTCAAAGGGAGGTAAATTAAGAAAAAAAAATTATGCTAAATAAAAAATATAATACAGGATCATTAATATAATCAAAAAATATTTCACAAGCGCTAAAATAGTTCTAAAGTTAAACAAAGTAAATATATATTTAAAAATAAATATATAAATATTATTATATATATATATATAAATTTTTATCTAGATTATGAAATTATATATTAAAGTTTTAATATATTAATTTTTATCAAATTCTAAATTTTTTATATTATTTAATTTATAATAAATCATATTTTATAATATAAATAAGTGCTCCTATTTATACATTTGCTTAAGATATATGCTTAAATAGTGCAAATTTTATTTTAACATCTGGAAGTAAATGCTTTGCAGGTTTTTTGTTTGTTTATTTCATTAATTTGTTTATTTTTTTTTAAAAAAAAGGTTAATTTTCTGTTTTAGGAGATCTTTCATTTACATATAATATTTTAAGATTTAAAAAGTTATTAGACCAAATATAAATAAAAGTTAATATTTATACTAAGGTTAAAATAAAGTAAAATTTAATCAATACGAAATGTTAAAATAAGAAGATATAGAATGGTATAAAAAAATTCTATTACAAAGAGAATATGAATTAAGAAGCGAAATAATTAAAAATAGAGCTAATAAATTCGATCTTTTAAAATTAAATAATTAATAAATAAATTAAAATCTTATCGAGCATTAAACTTTTGATTCAAATCATGCTTTTTAATATGGGTTATATTTTATTATTAAAATAATATAATATTATTATTTTTAGGTTTATTGATGGTGTTTGTAAATTAGAGGATTTATTATCATAAATTTATAGTGGAGTTAAAGTTATGGATGTAATGAATAATAAAAAAAACATTTTTATTGAAGCTTATTAAATAATCAAAGATGCTTATTGATTAAATATTAATAATATTTTTTTATTTTTTTATAATAAAACTTATAAATAAAATTAAAAAAAATAAAATAAATTTTGTATTATATTTTGAAACATATTATTTTTGGTAAAATTTTTATAAAATGTTATTTTGTTGTTAAAATAGACTAAATTATATATCTTTAAAAAGGATTATAAAAATTTTTGATTATATATTATGACTTATTTAATTGTAAGTAGTGTATTATTAAAATTTTATTAAATTATATTTTAATAAAATATTTCTATAACTATATTTACTATTTTATATTTATTTATTTTTAAAAAAGATATATTTTTCAGAAATTAAATAGAAAATACTTTTAATTTTCTTATTTTAAAAATTATATAAAATATTTTTTTTTAAAGCAATGCTTTTTTATTTTTTCTTTAATTTTTTTATAAACATAATAACAAAAAAAGTCTATAATCCGTTTTTTCTCGCTTTTTTTTATTTTTTTTGTGTTTTTCAAAGATAATACATAAAATATAAAAAATAAATGTTAAAATTAAAGTATAAATATGTTTGTTACAAAATTTTTAATCTAATTTTAATTTATTTTTATTTTTAATTATAATATGGTTTAATAAATATGTTTTTTAATTTTAATTTTATTTATTTTGAATATACTAAAAATTAATTAAAGCCATATATTTTTATTTAAATAAATATTTTATTTCTGATTTATTTTTAAATAAGTATACGAATTAAAATAATTTTATAGTTATATTTAAAACAAAATATATTATAATTTTATATGCATATATTTATATTTTCACATTTAAATTATTTTTTATCTTTTAAATTAATATTTATTTATTTTAAAAAAAAAAAAAATATAAAAATATTAATTAAAATTATCAATATTTTAAATATATTCGAATTTCTATTGAAAGAAAATAATGATTATAATAATTTTTATTAAATATTTTTTATATTTAAACAGAACATAATATAAATTCTTGAATTCAATATATTTGTTTATTTATTGTAATTATATTGCCAAAATAAAAATTTAAAATAATATTAATAAAATATTTTCAAATAAATTTAAAAATAATATTGAGGAAAAAATTTTTTTTTTTTTTTCTAAATTAAATATATAAAATAATTTTTAATTTTCACATGAAAATAATATTAATAATAATTGTATAATTATAATATTAATTATATAATTTTAATATAAGTTTTTTTATTAATATAAAAATATTCTAATTATATAAAATGAAACAACATAATACTTAAAATTACAAAGAAAATCAAATACAATTAACATTACAATATCCTTAAAAAACTTAATTAAACTTTAAATACGCCTAAATAAAGGTTATAATTTTTATTAAAAATATATAATTAAATTTCTATACTTATAAAAAAAATATAAAAAAAAATATAGAAAATTAATTCAAAAGAAAATTAATAATCTAAAAATATAGAAGTTATTTGTAGAAATAATGAAAATAATCCTAATTAATTAAGATCTACATTTAGAATTATATAATAATATCAAGATCTAATTTTGAATAGGAATCAATTAATATATAAAGACATTGAGAAACTAATTATTTAACAGAACAATTTTTACTTTAGAACTTATATTTATAATTAAAAAAAATTTTACCTTGAGGATAAAGATAAAGAATTATTTATAAAAAACTTCGGAAACATTATAGAATGCTTTGAAAATAATTACTTAAATCTAGATAAGATAATATAAACTAATTAAATCGAACCTTAAAATTTAATAGAAGTTACATCTAAATTAATAAATAGTTAAAAATTAAAAAAAACCTAAATATTTAAGTTTATAAGTAATTAAATTAAAAATTGCTTACCTAATTAGAATTATGTTTAGATGTTTATTTATCATAAAAAATATAAAAGCTAATAATCAGGTTAATAATAATAACGAAAAACTCCTGAGTTTCATAATCTAAACAGAATGTTTATGCATTATATAGTGAAAATGCTTTCTTTAGAAAATTTAGATTCTTATTAAATCCCTTTATTTATTTAAAAGGATATAACTAGAATCTTAAATAAAATAAAAATAGAATCCTTTAAGAAATGCAAAAAAGTTAATTCAAAAAAATATTATTTCTGCCATTATCATTACAATGTGCTTTTTTTGTAAATAAATTAAAAGGCTATTGATGTTTTTTAAAAAAGCTATAGGGATATAGATTTACATCTATAAATATTTGGAAATGATTTTTCCAATAATAGTTATGATTAAATAGAAGAATAGCTATAATATGTTAATTTGATTAAATATTATTTATATTGTATTGTTTCTTAAACTATATAAAATAATATTAAAATTAATAATTTTAATAATTGTGCTAGATATAAATATGTTTTAAGAATATTATATGGAATTAAAAAATTGTATTAAGGGATTTATCATAAAAGGTTTTGATAAAGTTTTAAATAAAAGTGTTGAAAAAAATAAGAAATTTTTTTATGTAAAAAAACGGTCTATTTAAATTAAAATATTAATATAAAATTATATTTATATTAAAAAAAAATTATGACACTTTTCATGACAAAGAAATCCATAAAATAAATTTATTTTATAAAAAATATAAATTAATGTTGATTATCTTTAATTAATTAATAAAAAAATATTATAAATATAAAATTAAATTAAAGAAAAAACTAATATAATATAAAATTGATTATTTTTATTTATTATATTAAGAAAAAAAATATATATATATAATTTGTAAATATAAATTTTCTATAAAGAATTTTATATTTTTTATTTTATTTTATCTAATTATATAATATAAAAATAATATAATATTATTTTTATCTACGTATATTTTTTTTATTTAATTCGGTTTTTTAAATATATAAATTTAAATAGCTTCTTATAAAAAAAATATTATTATATATATATATATATATATATATATATATATATATATATATTTTGTTTAGATTGAATAATATATTTTTTTTTAATTAATTAAAATTAAAGATAGAAAATAAAGTTTTTAAAGATGAAATATATTCAAAAAAATATCCCATAAAAATTAAAAATTAAAAAAAAAAGTTAAAAGCATTTGTTCAAGAACTATTTTTAATAAAAACCAACTTATTTCACTTTTATATTATTTTGTTTGTTTGTTTAAATATATTTTTAATATATTTTATTTAAAATTTAATTTATTTAATATTAACATTTTTAGAAATATTATTTAAATTATTAATATCACAATTTTATTATATATTTAAATATATTAGATATTAATTATAAAATTAATATTTTTTTTTTTTAAAAAAAATATTTATTAATTTTATAAATTAATATCTAATATAATTTAAAATTATATAAATATTTTTATTATTGTTTTTTTTTGTCTATTATATATTTAAATATACATATTATTTTAATTATATAATAAAAAATTATAATAAATAATAAAGTATTTTTTTATTATAATATATAACTTAAAAAATAAGTTTATATATTATATAAAATACTGCTATGATTAATAATATTTATTTTTTTATATATA